TCCTCCTCCTCCTCCTCCTCTTCCTCTGTCTCCTCCTCCTCTTCCTCCTGCCCGCTGCACTGTGGGGCTTGTAGTCCTCCCGCCGCCCCGCACATGGGGCACGACTACATTTCCCGAGGGCCCCCCACATTCTCCTCCTCCTCCTGGGCTTGCTGCGGCTCCGGCTCCGGCGGCAGCGGGGCCGCGGGGAGCCCCGGGACCCCCTCACTGCGCCCGGGCGGGTACGGCTCGCCGCCCCCATGCCCCCCGCCCCCCCAGGTACGGCCTGGGCTGCGGGGGTACGGGGTGCTGGGGTGCCCCTAGTGCTGGGGTGCCTGGGCTACCGGGGATGTGGGGTGTCCCCGGGGTGCTGAGGTGCCCGGGGTACCTGGGTTACCGGGGATGTGGGGTGCCCCGAGGTACCTGAGATGCCGGGGATGTGGGTGTCCCCCGAGTGCGCCCCGGGTTGCCCGGGATGCTGGGGATGTGAGGTGCCCTCAGGGTATGTAGGGTGCCCTGTCTCAGGGTGAGCTGGTGCTGCGCACCCACCCCAGCACCCTGCTCTACCACGTGCACCCCAAACCACCCCCCAGCACCTGGAGGAGCCACACAACCCTTGGGTGCTGGGGGGGGAGGCAGATAGGTGCCTGCATGGTGGGCGAGGGTGTATTTTGGGGAGCTTCCCCCCCCGTTTCGGGGAAGGTGCCCCAGGAACTCGCGCACCCCCATCCCCTGCCCACTCGGTGGCTCCCCACAAAATGTGTCGTGCTTCAGTTGCGTCACTTCTGTGTCACTGACATGCAGCTGCGGGGAGAGCATTCCCCCCGATCCCCCCGGGGCTGTCCCCTCCAAACCATGGTGGCCATGACTCCTTGGGGAGCTGTGCCTGAGCTCAGCTGCCCGCATCGCCCATGTCTGCAGGTTGACAACCACGTAGTGTGACAGTGATCCCTTGTCAAAGTCACACCACGATAACCCGTCGATAACCAGGTTCACACAGTGATAACTGCCCATGCTCTGCTCCCTCTCCTCTGCCTGGCTTGCACCAGGGCAGAGGGATGACAGCACTGAGCTGGGAACATCCCTTGGGACTTGTGCCCACCCACCTCGAGTGGTGGCAGCTCTGTGCATGGTCTGGAGAGGTGGAGCTGGGTCTGGCCAAATGGGTTTGTGGCTGGGGTCCCTGCATATGTGGGGACACACATGCCAGGAGTTAGGAGCCAGTGCTCCCAGGGACGGTGGCACTGGGACCGCAGCATGGAACTGTATCCCAGGTTTAATCTGGATTGTTTCCTTTGGGTCAGGGATGAGCAGTTGTAGCCATCCTGGATGGACACGAAAGGAAACGGAGAGCATCTGCTTCCCAAATGGGTTTGGAGCGGAGGGTGGAAAACAGCCTGTCAGGGTCCCAGAGCACATGGCGGGGGCCTGCCCCGCAGAGAGAGGCTGCCCCGCAGAGAGCGGCTGCTGGAGGTGACGATCGCTTACATCTGCAGCCTGGCTTGGGGACGAGGAGGAGATGGGGCATAATGCAGGCAGTCACAGCTGGCAGGGGCCCTGGGCAGGCACGGCACGGCACGGCACGGTGCTGGGGCGGGCGTTTGAAGGGGGTTTAGCCCCGCTCCTTGCCCTTCCCAGCACAGTGGGGGGGCTGCAGTGCTCCATCTGGCACCCAAGCCGGCACCGTCTCTGGGCGATAACTGTCTGGCAGTAAGTGAGCACCAAATCCCTGCCCCGCTCCCCAGGGACCTATTTAAGAGGTAGGGGCTGTTTGCCCAGCTGTGAGCTCCAGGACATGCGTGTTTTGGTGATGCTCAGGCACCGGCGCTGAAATCCCATGGGAATGCCAGCGAGTCCTCACTGGAGCGAATGGGCACCCTACTTCCCGCTGCTGCTTTTGGTTTTGTTCACGACCGGCTTTCCCCTGCCGGCACCAGCACTGGCTTGTTTCCCCATTAGCTGCGTGCATTATCCGGGGGGGGGGGCTCTTCAGAGGTGAGCCCCTCAGTCTTGCCGCGCAGGATGGCAGCGGGGGGGCATGGACTGGGACCATGAACTTAATTTTTAATGACTGTGATTAGTCGTTCTGCAATTAGCAGGGTAATTGGGTTTCTAGACCTTGCTCCCATGGCGTGGATTGGCACACGTGGGTTTTTATGGCTCGAAAAGCACTGTTGGTGACTTGTCGTGGGAGTGGGGAGCACTGGGAGGACACCTGGGCCAGGCCTACTCCCTTCCCTGCCTTCATCCCATGATCGCTAATAGGGTCTCCCTGGCGCTGCCAGGTTTCCTGCAGCCAAACCTCAGGATTTGAACATTTAATGCCCCTCCGGACCGTGAACCTTGTGGCATTTTGCATTCTCCCCAGGCTGGGCGATGCTGCCCAAGCATCGCGTCCTGCTGGGGGAGAGCCGAGGGGCAGCCGCTTGCCTGCAGCTTGGCTAAAGTCCCGCTGACCGCCCAGCTAATGTATAACAAGGGCGGCCCTGTGCCTGGTGTGCACATTAACTTGCTTTCACAAGCAGCACAGTCCCCACGGCTGCTGCCGTTTCCCTCCGGAGCAGCCCCAGCACAGGGCGTCTGCATTCCTCTGCCTCCGGGTCTGCAGCGGAGTGACTTGGCTCAGAGGGAAGCGTTGCTTCAGGGAGAGGGTAAAACACCACTGACTCTTAAAAGGGAGAAAAAGGAGGTGATGGGAGCCGAGGTTGCCCCACCACAGAGCCGGGCGCTTCATGCACTGAGGCTCTTCTATACAGGATTTACAAATGCCGCCTGAAATGGGCCCTCCCGCTTTTGCACAGCAAGACGCGTGGCTGCTTTTCTTTTTGCAAGAACATCTCCTGGGGAGAAGGTAGTGGTATTTATTTGCCTTGCGATTATGGAGGAATTTGAGCCCGTGCCAAATGCTGCTTTCTCCCCAGAAACTGCAGCGACGTGGCTTTCAATGCATTGGAGAGCGCCTGCGGCCAGAGAGGGGCTGCCTGGCCCAGCAAAGCCTGTCTAGCTGACGGTCCCCGGGATAACGCCACCGTCCCGCTGCAGAGCCGGCAGAGCCATGCCCAAGAAGGATGACGGCACCAAAAAGCCGGCATCAGAGACGGTGCCGGACCAGCGCTGGAAACTACAAGTCTTCTACCTCTGCTTCTATGGCTTCATGACGCAGATCCGGCCCGGGGAGAGCTTCATCACCCCGTATCTCCTGGGGGCCGACAAGAACTTCACACAGGCAGAGGTGAGCCGTGGGCAGCCTGTCCCCCCTGGTGTCCCCCTTTCCGGACACGATCACCACCCTGGGGCTGGCCAGAGCATCGTCCTGCGGTCCTGGGGTATGGAGGGGTGCAGGCGTGCCATGTCCTGGGCAAGGCGGCGTGTGGTGATGCACGGTGGTGCTTTTTGTAGGGGAGAAGGTGGTGTGGTATGGGTCCAGCTGGCAGCATGTCCCTGTCTCACCGGGCTGTGAGGTCACCCTGTCCCCTAAGTGCCAGGCTCAACTTTCCCCGGCATAAGACCTTGTGACCAGGCTGGCAGCTGATTTTGGGGGATGATGCCTGATCCCTGCCTGCCTGGGCAGCCAGTGGGATGGCAGGGGGGTGCTGGGCTGGGAGAAGCCCCGTCCCATCCCACTGGGGAGACCCTCCCATGCTGGCACGGTGCACAGGGCTGTGCACCACCGGGCTGCTGGCAACGATGGGGTTAGATGAGGAGAGGGCCACATGTCGTCGTCCCCTGACCAAGGGACACTGACCCCGGTCCCAGCAGGCTGCTGCATCCGTGGGAACGCCGCATTCCTGGCACGGGAGGGGGCCAGGGCTCAGCCAAGCCCCCAGCCGAGCGCGCCGCGGGCCACATTCCTCCCCAAGGAGGTGCTGTGATGGGGGTCAGCGGCTGGTGCCCACCCAAACCGCGCTCCTCCAGGCCGGGGGCATCCCCCAGCGATGTGTCCCATGCTCAGCCCCTCCTTGCATGCACGGCAGGTGACCAACGTGATCATGCCGGTGCTGACCTACTCCTACATGGCCGTGCTGGTGCCCATCTTCCTGCTGACAGACTACCTGCGCTACAAGCCGGTGCTGGTGCTGCAGAGCCTGAGCCACATCTCCATCTGGCTGCTGCTGGTGTTGGGCACCTCAGTCCTGGCCATGCAGCTGATGGAGTTCTTCTACGGCGTCACCATGGCTGCCCGCATTGCCTACTCCTCCTACATCTTCTCCCTCGTCGCCCCGTCCCGCTACCAGCGTATGGCCAGCTACTCCCGCTCCGCTGTCCTTCTGGGTGTCTTCACCAGCTCAGTGCTGGGCCAGCTGTGCATCACCTTGGGCAGCGTCTCCTTCCTCACCCTCAACTATGTCTCATTGGGCTTCGTCAGCTTCGGCCTCATCCTCACCCTCTTCCTTGAGCGGCCCCGGCGCAGCCTCTTCTTCAACCGGCCCGAGGGGGCTGACGATGGGGCTGCGCCTGCCGAGCTGGACAAGATGGCCAGGGGGGATGGCGGTGGGGGGATGCGGGGCTGGCGGGAGGCGGTGCTGTGCCGTATGCTGCGGGAGGTGGGAGCATTGGCCAGGCAACCCCAGCTCCGGCTCTGGTCCTTGTGGTGGGTCTTCAACTCGGCTGGTTACTACCTGGTGCTGTACTACGTGCATATCCTCTGGAACGAGATCTACCCCACCATGGACAACCGCCAAGTGTACAACGGAGGGGTGGATGCCGCCTCCACACTGCTGGGTACGCTCACCTGGGCTGGGGACACTGGGGATGTGGGGGGACACCCCCGTCCCACTGCATCCCCTGAGAATGGTGATCCTTATGATGTTTTTGGGGATGCAGGGGGTGGTTTGGCAGTGGTGATGAGATAAGCATCACTAGATGAGATGAGCATCACTAGGCTGGGGGACGCAAGGTAGGTCCCGTGCTGGTGAGATGTTCACAGCATCCTTCATCCCCTCCCCAGGGGCCGGTGCCTCCTTCGCTGCCGGCTACGTGAAGATCCGCTGGACACTGTGGTCGGAGCTGGTGATTGGGGTGGTGACGGCTTTCCAGGCGGGGCTGCTCCTGCTCATGAACACCACCAGCAACATCTGGCTGTGCTACGCCACCTACGTCCTCTTCCGTGGCTCCTACCAGTTCCTGGTGCCCATTGCCATGTGCGTGCTACCCCTGGGAACCTGCTACCACCCTGGCAGCCGGGCTAGCACCAGGGGCTCACCGGTTCCCCCCTCTATCCCAGTTTCCAGATCGCTACCTCCCTCTCCAAAGAGCTCTGCGCGCTGGTCTTTGGGGTCAACACCTTCTTTGCCACGGTGCTGAAGACCATCATCACCATCGTCGTGGCCGACAAGAGGGGCTTGGGCTTGTCGGTGCATCCCCAGGTAGGGATGGGGAGCACCTAGGATGGAGGTGGTCCCCTAATGTTGTGGGATGAAGGGGGGGGCTGCAAGCATTGCTCTCTCCCCACCTCTCTTGCAGTTTTACGTGTATTTCGGCTACTTCACGCTGCTGGCAGTGGTCTACCTGCTAGCGGCCGTTGGCGTGGGCATCCGGCACAGCTGCTGCAAGCAGCCGGCAGAGCTGGCCTTGGTGAAGGAGCTGTGCCAGCTCCCCGCTGAGGTGCCGGCGCAGGAGAAGAGCTTGGAGGCAGGCACCGTGTGAGCCTGAGCACCGGCACTGCGACCGGGTCTCAGCTCCATAAGTGAGCATCACCATCACCGTGTGCTTTGTCTCCTGTCCCGCCAGCAGTCCGGCCCATTGAGGACATACCCCTTGGGACCCGTTTTCTGCTCCATGGGGCACGGCTGTGCCCCCCACCAGCCACAAACACAACCAGAGCAGGGGCAGGATGCCCACAGCTGCCACTGTGGGTAGCACGCAGGCATACAGATGGGATCCGGGGGCTTTCCCGGCCACCGGCTCCCCATCATCGTGTGGAGCCAGGCTACAAGAGGATAACATTTCTTTATTCAGTGCCTTTAGAAAATGGTTTATAGGACACAATCCACAAAAAAAAATATAAAGATCCACAGGCTTTAAATTGCATTAATTACACAAAATACAGTAGACTGTAAGAAATAGAGACCATGTGACTCGCACAGCTTTTATGGTAATAATTTCCATAAAATAATAAAAAGCTAGTTACAGATTTATCTTTTTTTCTTTTTTGTTTTTTTAGCACCTTGGATTTGCCCACACCAATTCAAACCAGCTTTGCTGTGCCTTGGCCCCTAGAGCGCTGCAAAGGTGGCACGGGGAGGGGTGGTGGTGGCGGTGCCTGCCCTCGGTACCAAGCATGTTCAACATGCACATGCTCATAAACACATGCCAAGGGCACACCTGGCCCCACATCAGGGCCACTCCATCGCCCCAGTCCCTGCGCTGGCCTGGGTGTGGCTGTACCTGGGGTGGGGGGCACA